CCCGCCTCCGCAGCATGGCTAGTCACCGTCTTGTCTCGGGTCTCCCTCACGTCTTTGCGTCGCTCCCTCCCTCGCCTGCACCGATGTGCACTCCTTGTCTCGCCGGCCGCCTGCGCGCCACTCCGCACTCCTCCTCCCTTTGTCCAGCCACTGCTCCCTTCCAGACCCTCCACTTGGAAGTCTGGGGCCCTGCCCCTACGCTTGGACCTGAGAGCGAGCGCTACTTTCTGGTGGTCGTCGACGACTAGTCCAGGTACACTACGGTGTTTCCTCTCTCGAAGAAGTCCGAGGTGACTTCTATGCTGATCCGGTGGCTGCTGGCCATTGAGGGCACTTGTGGTAGTCGTGTCCGTTGTCTCCACTCCGACCGTGGGGGTGATTTTTGCTCCGGCGTCCTTGCCGGGTTCTGCGGCGAGCAGAGTATCAGACAGTCCTGGAAGCTGTCAAAGTCCCCACAGCAGAATGGGGTTGTTGAGCGCCGCATTGGCTTGGTCATGGACATTGCCCGCACGTCCATGATCTATGCCCGTGCGCCCCATTTTATGTGGCCCTATGCAGTTCGCTACGTCGCCCACCAGCTGAACCTCCAGCCGCGTGTCTCGCGGCCAGAGGCTTCACCGACCAGTCTTTGGACCGGGTCCCTTGGTATTGGTTCGGCCTTTCGTGTTTGGGGCTGCCTTGAGCTTGTCCGCAACACCTCTGCGGACAAGCTCTCGGCTCGCGCCATCCCATGTGTCTTCCTTGGTTTCCCGGTGGACTCTCCCGACTACGCCTTTTACCACCCACCCCTTCACCATTTCCCTGACTCTCGTGACGTCCAGTTTGACGAGTCACTGTCCTACTACACCTGGTTCCCCCTCCCCCCCTTTTCCTCACACCCTCTCCTCCCCCTGCTCCCACTCTCCCGGTCCCCCCGCCCCCCCTTGGTCCTGCCCCGTCAGGTGTGCCTCGCGCGTCTGGTAGCGTCTCCCTCCTTGCAGTCCTCCTCATAGTCCCCTCAGCAGCCATCGGCACTTCCGCGACAGGTTACTGTGGGCTCAGGTGGTGTTGGATTTGGAGGTGCTGCCACTGGAGGTACTCGGTCTAGGGGCGCTCGTTCGAGAGGTGTTGGAGCTGGAGGTGCTGGAACTGAATGTGCTAGTTCTGGGGGTGCTAGAGCTGGAGGTGTTTGCACTAGTGGCGCTAGTTCTGGGGGTGCTGGAGCCGGAGGTGCTGGCACTAGAGGTGCTAGCTCTCGGGGTGTTGGAGCTGGAGGTGCTGGCACTGGAGGTGCTAGTTCTGGGGGTGCTGGAGCAGGAGGTGCTGTCGATGTAGGATCTAGTACTGAGGAGATAGGAGCTGGAGGCACGACTACTGCTGCGCCCACTGCGCCTCCCCGCAGTTACGACACACGTCTCCAGGCTCTTCGCCGGCTTGAGCGCGCAGAGCAGGAGCGGTTGGAGCAGGAGAGGCAGAAGCTGCAGCAGTTGGACCAACAGCAGCAGCTATCGTTGCCGCCACTTTTGCAGCAGCTGTTCTCTCCAGTGAGTGGTCTTCGGGCCCTTGGTCTTCCTTCCTCTCCTCCCGTCCACTCACAGTCTCCTACCGCATACGGTCCTACATTTCCTCCTCCGGACTCGGCTCCAGATGTTTTCTCTCCTCCTCAGTCACAGTCGTCTCCTCCTGTTGTCCCGCACGACTGGACCAGTCGTTGTCCTCGGCGTGCCCGTCCCTCGTCTCCTTTTGCTGACCTCTGCACTATCTTGTTTCGTTCTAGACCTCGTCCTTCTCCGCCTGTGTCTGTTCTCCCCTCACCTCCTGAGTCGTCTCTCACTGTCTCCTCTCACCCCATCACTGACTACTACCGTGCTGCTTGCCCTGTTGTCTCCCGTGTTTTCGCCACTCTTGTCACCGGCCCTCGTACCTCTCCGTCGTCTGTCTCGGCTCTTACTGCCGTTGTCACTGACTTTGCTTCCACCCGCCGTCTTGACTACGCCACGCGTGTGGTGGCTGCTCCACCTCCCCGTCCTCTGTCCATCAGGGGTGAGTCTGCCCTTGGCTGTGACGTCCTAGAGGACATACAGTTTGAGCAGGAGTTCTTGGCAGCCACTTCCCCCTCTCTCTTCGCCATGCTGCTTTCCCCTGAGGGAGACCCCGACGCCCTTGACATACCGACTCCTCGCACGTACCGTGAGGCAGTGTTAGGGGAGTGGGCCTCTCAGTGGAAAGCGGCTATGGACTCAGAGTGTGTCTTGGAGATCCACAGGCACCTACGTCGACGCAGTTCCCCCTCCCTGGACGAACGTTGTCGATGGCATGTGGCTCTTCAAGGTGAAGCGGCCGCCTGGATCACCACATGTGTTCAAGGCGCGCTACGTGGCTAATGTTTTCAGTCAGCGTGAGGGAGTTGAATTCTTCCAGACCTTTGCCCCGACCCTGAAGATGACTACTCTTCGGCTGTTACTGCACGTAGCAGCATAGCGAGACTACGAGCTGCACTCCATCGACTTCTCCACTGCGTTTCTCCAGGGCCGCCTACTCGAGGAGATCTGGCTGCGGTGTCCTCCTGGCTTCACTGACACCTTCCCACCTGGGACCCAGTGGAGCCTGAGGCGACCAGTCTACGGTCTCCGCCAGACGCCCCGTGAGTGGCACGACACTCTTCGCTCCACACTTCGTGACCTTGGGTTTCGTCATTCCTCTGCCGACCCGTCGCTGTTTGTTCGCACTGGTTCCACTCCTTTCTTTATACTTGTTTACGTCGACGACTTGGTCTTTGCTATAGAAGACAGAGCAAATCTGGCTGAGGTGAAGTCTAAACTGCAAGAGAGACACACGTGCACTGACCTCGGTGAACTGCAGCGCTACCTTGGCCTGCACATCACTAGGGACAGAGCCGCTCACACCATCACACTGACTCAGTCACACATGGTGCAGCAGGTCCTTCGGCAGTTCGGGTTTCAGTTCTCCACCACACAGCCCACTCCTCTTGCCATTGACCACCGACTCACTGTCCCTTTTCCCGACGAGCCCTTTGAGTCTAGCGGTCCCTACGCAGAGCTTGTGGGTTGCCTCATGTACTTGATGACTTCTACTCGGCCGGACCTCGCCTTTCCCCTCAGCGTCCTCTCTCGCTTTGTTGCAACTGTTAGACACCATCCTGTTCACTGGACAGCTGCTGTGTGGGTGGGGAAGCACCGGGCAACTACATCAGGCATGGGGCTTGTGCTTGGAGGGACACGGCCAGTTGAGTTGACCGGTCACTGCGATTCTTCCTACGCTGACGATGTGGGGACTCAACGTTCGACTCAAGGTTACTGCTTCAGTCTAGGTGCTGGTGCTGTGTCGTCGAGGTCTACACGGTCGTTGTCTGTGGCTTTGTCCATTGCAGAGGCAGAGATCTACACTGGTGCCATGGCGACACAGTAGCTTTGCTGGTTGACCTTCTTGCTCACCGACCTTGGTGATCGGCCTCGCTCTTCACCGAACTTGTACGCTGACAACAAGGCCATGATCCTCCTGTGTCGAGAGCCTCGTCTGGAGAGCAGAGTGAAGCATATTGACATGAGGTACTTTCTCCTGCGAGAGCTACAGCGACGCGGTCAGGCACGCTTGGACTTTGTGGCCTCAGAGGCCAACACTGCCAACGTCTTCACCAAGGCATTGGCGCCTGGTGACCACCAGAGGTTCTGTGTGCAGGTAGGGCTTGTTGAAGTAGGCCCACGGTTGCTGTAGTGTTTCTCTTATTGCGTGTTCTGCTTGTCATTGCCTTTATATATATTGTGCTCTCTTGAACTGGCCTTGTGGCCGCTTGTTTGTGCTCGGAATTTGTGTGGTGTCCTTGAGATCCACCCTAAGCTTGCTTTGTTTCTTGTCTTGTCTGGTCTTGTGACCGTTTGTTCACCCTGACGTGAGGTACTTTCTCCCGCGAGAGCTACAGCGACGCGGTCAGGCACGCTTGGACTTTGTGGCCTCAGAGGCCAACACTGCCGACGTCTTCACCAAGGCCTTGGCGCATGGTGACCACCATAGGTTTTGTGTGTAGCTAGGGCTAGGCCTACAGTTGCTGTAGTGTTGCTCTTATTGCGTGTTCTGCTTGTCATTGCCTTTATATATATTGTGCTCTCTTGAACTGGCCTTGTGACCGCTTGTTTGTGCTCGGAATTTGTGTAGAGATCCACCCTAAGCTTTCTTTGTTTCTTGTCTTGACTGGTCTTGTGACCGTTTGTTCACCCTACAACACTTTCTAGGTTTGCTATTTGTATCACTCACTTTCCTAGTTCATGCATTTCCGTTGCATTCTATTTCTGATATTAGAGCTAGGAAGGTCTAGCAATCTCTTGGAATAGGAGCTACTCAAAGCATTGGACCATAATACATTGGTGGAAGCTACATAGCTTCCATCCCTCCCAAAGGGCTGCCAAAATTGCACCGTGATGGACTTTGGACGTGGGAGGGGAGGAGGAGAGAAAAAACTCGTGTGGATCCGTTCGGGAGGATGAGAGGAGCGTCATCTATTCACGGAGAGGCTCAGTCAACGTTGGTCGATCAAGGCGCGCATCATATCGTTGGAAAGGTCTCAATACGGTTTACAACAGTTGCCTCGGGGTCGTCACCAATCGACGAGCGGATCGGACGCAATTTGCAAAATACAGTCGGCGGACGAATTGGAAAATTGCGAATCGGGGAAGATTGGAGGGTAGACGCCAAGTGAGGAGGCCAGGGCGCATCTAACAAGCCAAAAATCGGGAGAAACGGTCGAGTCTTCGTCGGCGGAAAATCGGCCAACTTCGACGAGTTTAAGCGGAGAGCTTGGACGCGGGATCCAAGAGCACAATACATCATTGAAACGGTCTCAAAACGAGGATTTGGCTGAATCAAACAGCTTGTCATTTAGAGGTTCGGGCTCGAAGTTACGCTCTAAAAACCAAGAGGGGGTGAATCTGCCCACATCGCCTTCATCGCCGCCGCCGTTGCCTCCACCACCACCTCAACTTCAATCGTCAGTGCCTCTGCCGCAAATGGATCATGACTCAGGTGAAGGGAAGCTGGAAAGTGCGCCAAAGTTCGACTGAAGCGACTATTGGACTTGGAGCTTCCGATTCGAACAATGGGCAGAGGTGCACGATATGTGGGGGTACTTTGATGGATCGGAGGAGCGGCCTGCATCGGGCGACGCACGGCTGAAGTGGGAGAGGAAAATCCAGAAGGAATTCGCCCAATTCTGCAATGCCTTGGTGCCATATGAGCTGATTTGTTTGGTACAGGAGTTCGGCGGCAAGACCGAGTTGGGCAGTGCACCTGCAGATGGTGGAGCAAGAGTGGTGACCCGCGTTCCTGCATGTACAGAAGCGGAATACACACGTGTGAGGGATTTCTACCTTCAGCGTGGCTTGTGCAACCGGATGGCACTTTCTTGTCACGAGACGAACTTAGCTAGGAACGGGTTTAACTAAGGGCCTAGGCTTAGTAGCCTAGGCCAAGCGGGTGTCGAGGGAGTTGTGCCAAGAGAGAATCGAGAATGTGTGTCTTCACTATAGGTTTGCAAGAACATATAGCAAAGAAACAAAGTGGTGCACCACCACAACAAAGAAACATAACTACACTAAAGCTAAAGCTACAGGCAGTTATAAACATATATAAATATATATCGCGACACACCCCCTTAACTGCCTGCAGCACATAGCTAGAGCAAGTCACACCCCCTGAAGGGGCAGGTGCGGTGGGAGACGGCAGAGGGGTACGTGAGGAGGAGGAGGCAAGAGGAAGAGAGGAGAGGAGAATAGATAAGAACACAGGAGGAGGTGAGTGGGGGATGAGGAGAGGAGGTGGGGGGTGGCCGCAGCGTCCCCTCTTACTAACCCCCTTTTACGAAAGGGGGGGTTGAGTGGGGGATGAGGAGAAGAGGTGGGGGGGTGGCCGCAGCGTCCCCTCTTACTAACCCCCACATCCCCACCCCCAACCAACCACCCGCCCTCAACCTCACCCCCCATTTCAGTCGCCCCCTGGAACCGCACTCCCTCCACCCCTGTCTTCCTCCATACCTCTCCCAACCCACGATGGTCCCTGTACAGTCTTTCACAGGTGGGCTGCTGGGCACAGGTGGGGCTGCTGGTCACAGGTGGGGCTGCTGGTCACAGGTGGGGCTGCTGGTCACAGGTGGGGCTGCTGGTCACAGGTGGGGCTGCTGGTCACAGGTGGGGCTGCTGGTCACAGGTGGGGTTGCTGGTGCTGGTGCTGGCGGCTGGCGCTGGTGCTGGTTCCTGGTGCTGGCAGCTGGCACTGGGGCTGGTTCCTGATGCTGGCGGCTGGCGCTGGGGCTGGTTCCTGGTGCTGGCGGCTGGCGCTGGTGCTGGTTCCTGGTGCTGGCGGCTGGCACTGGGGCTGGTTCCTGGTGCTGGCGGCCGGCGCTGGGGCTGGTTCCTGGTGCTGGCGACTGGCGCTGGGGCTGGTTCCTGGTGCTGGCGGCTGGCGCTGGGGCTGGTTCCTGGTGCTGGCGGCTGGCGCTGGGGCTGGTTTCTGGTGCTGGCGGCTGGCGCTGGGGCTGGTTCCTGGTGCTGGCGGCTGGCGCTGGTGCTGGTTCCTGGTGCTGGCGGCTGGCGCTGGTGCTGTTCCGCCACCACTCCCTTCCCCTCCTCTCTCTCCTTTCCACAGCGTCCCACCGCCACTCCCTTCCCCTCCTCCCTCTCCTCCCCATGGCGACCGCCGCTGCACACGCAAACAGTCGCGACGGGGGGGGGGGGGGGGGGTGACGGGCAGGGGGCGGGGGGAATGCGACGGGCAGAGCGGGCGAATGAGCGGCTGGGGCGATCGCCAGTGCTCTGGCGATCGTCGCTGGCGTTCCCCCGTCACTCCTATCCCCTCTTCCCTCTCGCCCCCACAGAGTTCCGCCGCCACTCCCATCCCTTCTTCCCTCTCCCCCCCACAGCAACCGCCGGTGCGACGGGCGAGGTGCAAGGTGGCGCTGGCTGCAGTCGATGGCGCAAACGCGATCGCGGGCCGCTGGCGACTTCGCTGGCGACTTCGCTGGCGGGTCGCTGGCGGCGGGTCCGCTGGCGTTCGCCATAGCGTCCGCCGCGCCCGTCGCGCTGAGAGCCGCGACGAGGCAGGCGACGGGGGGCAGCGCGAGCAGCAGGGAAAAAAAAAAGATACGCAAGGTGCGGATTTCGCGCCACTAACTGTAGCAGTCGCGAAATGTGGTGGGCCCATAAACGAAATAGGTCCTAGGACGGACCACTCTGTTACCATGTCACGAGACTAGCTTAGCTAGGAACGGGTTTAACTAAGGGCCTAGGCTTAGTAGCCTAGGCCAAGCGGGTGTCGAGGGAGTTGTGCCAAGAGAGAATCGAGAATGTGTGTCTTCACTATAGGTTTGCAAGAACATATAGCAAAGAAACAAAGAGGTGCACCACCACAACAAAGAAACATAACTACACTAAAGCTAAAGCTACAGGCAGTTATAAACATATATAAATATATATCGCGACATTTCTGAGGAGCTCTCTTCCTTGAAGATGAATGACGGAGAGGGCGTGGCTGCGTACTCGGCGCGTGCCGAGGACTTGAGGTCCGAATACTCGGTGGCAGGGGGGAAGGAGGAGGTTGAGGAGTGGATGATGAGGGTGCTCAAAGGACTACCTCCTCACTTTGAGATGCTGAAGGTGGTGCTAAACAATCAACCATCATTGCTTATCAAGGACCAGTTGCTTACCTATCTGAGGAGCGAGGAGATGCGGATTGGTGTCGCACCAAGATCGGATGGTGTAGCCACTTTTGGAGCGGGTACGAAAGTGGGCAGTAGAGGCAGGGGCAATGAAAACAAGTGGGCAGTAGAGGCAGCGGTAGCAGCAGCGGCACCAACTCGGGCATATGGGGTCAGGGGAAAGGCAAAGCAGGAGTGCTTGATTTCCCTTGGGGGTCCAAGGGCATGGCTCCTGGGGGTTGTGTCATGGCTGTTGGGATGAGGGACATGCATGGCAGCGATAACCTCATCGACCTAAGGGAGGAATTCCAGCATTCTTACAGCGGGGGGGTCGTGGATCCAATGGCAAGGCACAGATGGTGGATCAGGAGGACAAGGATGACAAGGCAGAGGTAGCAGTCTGTGAGGCAGTTGCGGCAGTAGGAGGGGAGCAGCCACGAAAGGGGGTGGTGGATAGATAGTGGGGCCAGCTAAACTTTACTCCTTATGCATCTGACTTTAAGAGTAAGCTTAAGCAACCTAAGATTCAAGGAGTTAGATTGGGAGATGGATGGGTGGTGAAAGCTGTTGGCATGGGTGAGGTGCTAGTGGTTGGTGTTGGAGGTCAGCTGCTGAGGATTCAAAAGGTCCATCTTGTGCCTGAGATGCACACGCGTCTGCTGTCAGTCCCACACCTCACCTCTCCGAATGCCATTGTGTCATACAAGGGCAAGGGATGTGTTATCAAACAGGGGGAAACGGTGTTGGCGATTGGAGAAAAGGAGAGGGGAAGGGACCATGGATTGGTGCGAATGTCTCTTCCTCTTGCTCGGGGCACACAGGGCAGTGCTCTTGCAGCTGGATCCTCCTCCTCACTTGGTCATACCGCCCTCACCACACTACAACAGATGGCTCAAGGGAACAGTGTACTGGGCTTGCAGATCTGGGGGGGGAACGCTGACTGTTCTCCGTGCGAACCTTGCCTATTGGGAAAGTCGGCCCAAAAGAAGTTTCCCCATGAGGCATCTCGCGCACTCGGGCCCTTGGATGAGGTCCACATGGACTTGTGGGGGCCTGTGCGCGCTGCTTTTCTGGGAGGAGCGGTGTATGTGTCAGAATGTTATATTGCTTACTTTGTGTAGGCTATAGTGGGGTAGCCCATAAGGGGTACAACCTGATTAGGGTTAGTACTACGGAGAATCACTCTACAACGGTAGTGAGCTAGACTACGGGGGTTGGCACGGACTACTAGGGGTGATCGTAGCTTTGACTAGTTCCTTAGTGCTTGCACAATCACGGGAGAAATTGGCAAGAGTTTTCACTAGCAAAGTTGGAATTTCAGAATTGTTAAACAAGCAATGACAACAATGACTACATCAGGCACCTAGCAACTCTGCAGCTACCCTGGTCGACAGACAGCACAGCATGGTCGACCGCCTGCCAGCGTTGCATAGGGGAGTCGCGCCAGCACTGCAGAAAGGCGACCTGCCAACACAGCAGGTCGACAGTGTGCCAACACTGCAGCAGAGCGGCTGTCTAGCGTTGCCCCGTAGAAAACAGCAGTGCGCACGCTCGCAGGTGCGCGCAGACGATTGGCCCGACTTGCATCGTTGTGCATCCGTCGGCTGTTGTCTGCGCCTGACGAGCCACATCAACTTCGGGATACCAACCCGAAGTCGCCTTCGCCATCCCGACCTCGACGACGTTTGCGTGCCTCCGCAGAACTCGCTGAGCAGGTTACCCGGTCAACCTGGACAACCCCAGGTGCTATGGTCGACCACCAAGTGCCTCTGGTTGACCACCAGGTGCCCCTGGTGGACCACAGCTCCCGTCGAGCCACCCCCTAGTCGACGGACCCCTTCCGTCGACCAGAACTGTCAGCTGTTGTTGCCAAGCTCCCCTCGTTGACCGCTGCTCACTTGTCAAGTCGACGGACTGCTCCGTCGACCTCCCCGTCGAACTGCCCCTCCTGGTCGACGGCCCACCCGTTGCCCAGACCAGTCAGTTGCTACTGTCGAGTTCCCTGGTCGACAGCAACGCCACAGCGGTCCCTTGAAGCTCGACGAAGCCTGTCGAGCAGCTCTCCCACTGTGAACGGTCGGCTGCTACTCCCGTACATTCGACCAAGTCGTTGGCATTGCCCAAGCGAGGGCGGGGTCAACACTCCACTCCCGTTAACACTCCCCTGCCGCGCTCAGGCTTGGGCCTCTAGTCCACACGGCAGTACTCCACGGAGAAAACTCGTCCTAGGCATGCACCCCACACAGCACGCCGTCACTGCACCAGCCGTGCAGAAGGGCACGGCACCTATTGCTGCACATCATCGCCGCTGTCGCCAACGTCGGCCAGACGAACTTGGCCGATGGCGACAGCGCACCGGTTGAAAGCCGGAAAATTCAGCGCCTTTGTCAGGAAGTCTGCCGGCTGCTCGGTGGTCGGGATGTACTTCAGTTCGAACTTCCCGCGCCTCACCATGTGCTGCAGCCAGGCATAGCGTTGCTCCATGTGCTTGAGGTTGCCCGTCAGCCCCAAGCCCTCAGCAGTCGTAATCGCCGACTTGTTGTCGACGCGGAGGATGGTTGGCTTCCCAGCGTCGAGTTGATTGAATTCCGCAAGAAGGAAACGAAGTCGGCGTCCCTCCTTGCATGCATTCATGGCCGCAACGTACTCCGACTCTGTCGACGACAATGTCGCACACTTGATGCGCGAGCTCGACTAGGAGACGGCGGCCCCTCCGTAGACGAACACGTAGCCGCTCGTGCTCGTCCGCTTCTGCTTGTCGCCTGCATCGTCGGCGTCCACATAGCCGATCAGCTCCAGCGACTCTGGTCCACCGGCGAACTCCAAGGCGGTGTCGCGGGTGTCAGCAAGGTAGGCGAGGCAGCGGTCGACCTCGCGCCAATGCTGGTCGCTCCTCACCTGAGGCCGCTCCCCAGCCTGCTACAGGCAAACGCGATGTCCGGCCTCGTCGTCGTCGCCGCGAACTGCAGCGAGCCAACCTTCTGCCGGTACTCCTCCTCCTCGTGCTCCTGCGCCTCATCGTCGTCGAACGTCAGCTCGGCGTAGGCATCGATCGAGACCGGCGTCTTCGGAACTCGACCGCCCTGCTCCTCGTCGATGAAGCGCCTGCGGAGCTTGTCGGCGTAGCCCTGCTGGTGAAGCCACAGCTTCCTCGTTGGCCTGTCGCGCACGACCTCTAGCCCGAGGTACTTGACGATCGGCAAAATCTCGCGCAGCTCAAAGGCAGCCTCCAGCAGCTCCTTTAGCTCCTTCAGCATCGCGGGACTGCTGCTGGCGGCGAGCAGGTCGTCGACGTAGACCAGCACCCAGCAGGTCACTCCGTTGTCGCCGGCCTTGAAGTAGAGCGCCTCGTCGACCTGGCTCTTCTTCCAGCCAGCGCCCAGCAGCACACCATCGAGTGCCCTGTACCACAGCAGCGGTGACTGCTTCAGCCCGTAGAGGCTCTTCAGCAGCTTACACACCCGGCTAGTCCCATCGTCGAAGTAGTCCGGCTGGTACATGTAGAGCGCCCTGTCGAGCTTGCTCTGCAAGAAAGTATTCATCATGTCGAGCTGCATCAGGTTGAGGTCGAGGGTGGCAACAATGCTGAGGAAGATCCTCAGCGTGACGTAGCTGCTCACCGGCAAGTACGTCTCGTTGTAGTCGGCACCGCACACCTGCGTGAAGCCCTTCATGACCAGCCTCGCCTTCTCGTGCTCCACGGTGTCGTCGATGCGTTACTTGGTCGTCAGCACCTACCGGTTCTTCATGATGTTTACCCCGTGTGGGCGTTCGACCAGCTCCCAAGTGCCCATGCCGATGAGGCTGCGGATCTCTTCTTCCATGGCGGCCTTCACCGCCTCGCCCTTCCAGCTCGCCATCGCCTCCTTCACCGTCATCGTGGCGATGTCCCAGCGGTGTTCTGGGTCGGCATGCACGTCGGGGTCGAGCTCCGGCCGTTCTTCATCCTCCTCGGCGTCGTCATACGCAGTGGTGAAGGCAGCTGGCGGTAGGCAGGCGTGGAAGCTCAGCCGCTCCGGCGGCCGTCGAGCTCGACCTGTGCGACGCAACTCTGGCTTCGTGATCGGCACCTCCACCACGTCGCTGTCGGTGGACTCTTCTCCTGCTGACAGTTCCCCTTCTTCGTTGAAGGCCAAGTCGTCGACCAGCTGCTGCGAACCTTCTACTGACTTCGACAGCTCCCTTGTCGACTGCACCCCTGCTGCTGCCTCTTGTTCGACCAGCTCCCCTGTAAGCTGCTCCCCTGTCGTCGACGGCTTCCCATCCTGGTCGACGAGCTTGGCGCCTTGTTGATCGCCCGCGATGCGACTGGCTGGCACCACAAGCGACTCTTCAAGGCTCCCCTCATCATCGGTGGCCGACACAGGTGTCGACGCATACCGATCTGCGACGGGGAAGGGAGGAGCTAGTACAGGGGGAGGTGGAAGAACCTCCACAACGTCCTCATCAGCAGGCTCGTCAACTTTGGCGAGCAAG